GTATGGAGCCCCTTCACATTCGTCAAGAAGCACGAGAAAAATCCTGCAAAAGTATGGAGCCCCTTCACATTCGTCAAGAAGCACGAGAAAAATCCTGCAAAAGTATGGAGCCCCTTCACATTCGTCAAGAAGCACGAGAAAAATCCTGCAAAAGTATGGAGCCCCTTCACATTCGTCAAGAAGCACGAGAAAAATCCTGCAAATGTATGGAGCCCCTTCACATTCGTCAAGAAGCACGAGAAAAATCCTGCAAAAGTATGGAGCCCCTTCACATTCGTCAAGAAGCACGAGAAAAATCCTGCAAATGGGAGAATGTAACCTTCATAGAACCAGACATGCGGGGCCAAAAAATCCTACACCGGGAGACCGTAACCTTCATAGAACCCAGAGGGGTAGCTACGGAGGGGTGCAGCGTGGGGGGGACAGATGTCCCTGGGCGCCGGACTAGTTAGAGGCGCCAAAATGTGCTTTGAATATTATTTTATTGATGAAAATAATGGGTTTGAGAGTTGAAAAAGAAAGGGAGGCTCTTCAAAATGAATCTTGTCCCCGGGCGCCAAACACTCTAGCTACACCTCTGATAGAACCAGACATGTGGCCCTCAAACCAAAAAAAAGTCTGCAACTTATCGTAGATTTGCAATACGTTAATGTAACATCTGAAAGTGGCCATTGCTCAAGAGTGGCCAAAATTATCTCAGTGTTTTGTAAGCAATGGCCATGGCCACTGGCACAGCCGTTTAGAAGGGGGGAAAAAAGAACTATCAAGAAAAAGACACTTTTGAATTAGGACGCAATTTTAAATCATACAAAATTAACTTTTAGACAAGTTTTACTTGTTTAAATGTTAAAATTTAATTTTTAAAAAAAAATTGTTGTTGTTGTTGCACCACCATGTATATTGTATACCTCAAATACACATTTAAGAGATTTTAATGAAGCATAATTGATGATAAAATTTCACGTAAAGCAACATTATAATTAAGTTTTAGGCCTTTTTATAACTAAGGTCCTTATATTCTCATTGCCTCCTCTTTCCCCCCCCCAAAAAAAAAAAAAATTGACCCCCCCCCCCCACTTTTAAACGCCAGGAAAACATCCTTGATACGCCTCTGTACCTTTCACTATCATTTTGTTTAGTGCAGCTTCTTTGCACCGTATTATCTCCAATCTTCGCTCAGACAACATACCCCGCCAGTAATCGAATGTGAGACCCGAAACCATCGAGTGGTTCGTTTCAACAGTACATCGATAAACGAGAGTCACACCCCTCAGCTCCTGGTACAGTCTGCTATCTGTAACGATGTTCTTGGTCGTCAGATGGTCCCACAATTGATATATCTTGATAGTCGTTTTTCAAGTCGAGATCACGCGATCTGTCTGTAAAGGGTTAACAAAATATTTTTATTTTTTTTTGGGGGGGGGGGAGGGGTGGGGGATGGAAGGGCGGGGAGGTGCACCCAGAGGCGTAGCGAGAGTTTTTAGCGCCCGGGGGACAAGATCCATTTTAAAGCGCCCTCTTTTCTTTTTTCAACTCTCAAACCCATTGTTTTCATCAATAATATAATATCAAAGCACATTTTGGCGCCCCTAACTACCTTGCGCCCGGGGAATCTGTCCCCCCTGCCCCCCCTTCGCTACGCCTCTGGGTTCACCTAAGCTAACCCTAATTATTGATGGATATTTTCATTGATCTGAAAATTGAACCCTTGTCTGTTATTTTAAAACAAAGTACCGCTAATGGCAGCTATATCTGTTCAAGTAAGTTGTTGGCTCTGAGCGATTATTGATTATTGATCAGTCCTTTTCAACGTTCTCTAGACTCATTTTACAACGCAATCTCGTTTTCCCAAATGCTAGGTTTTAAATTTTATATCCAGCACCAATCACTGCTGTTACTGCTGTTTAAAGATTCCTAATTTCCAAATAGATTATTTCATGACATAATGTTTTCGTTTTTGAAAAGTTGCATTTATCTATTTATGCCTTCATAAATTTTGTTGTTGTTGAGTCTTCAAATTTTTGAGACAATGTTAACGTGGTAAGGAGATGCCCTTTGAAATACTTACAAAAATATATGCAATATAAAAGTGCTTTAGCCTGTATTACTCTGGGTGAGCTGTAAGTTACATCCATCCTGGGGAGATGTAAGCCGTAAGATATATCCATCCTGGGGAGATGTAAGCCGTAAGATATATCCATCTCGGGGAGATGTAAGCCGTAAGCTACATCCATCCTGGGGAGATGTAAGCCGTAAGATATATCCAGCTTGTAGGTTGTATCTATTGTGATGGGTTTTATCCAAAAAGCAAGACTCAGATACACCATTGACTAACACAACGTGAGACCCACCGTCACCTAAGAAAAACACGATGTGAGAACCGGCCCGTAATATTTGCTCCTTAAAATTAAAAAGCAGAAAGGGTCATGTCAAATTAAGCTTACACTTTTTTTCCTCCTTCAAAATCTACACAAATATGGAACGACTTCTGAATCAAGATCTCTGCGATAAATCAACAAAGATACCAGAGATAGACATGAGATATATGCAGTTAAGTGTATACTATCGCCTGTAAGACAGATCTTTTATCTCCACCACGAATTCAATAACTATAGTCCAATCTTTAACATTAGATCTGGAACACGATAGTCACCAGCCTAGCGGTTGACAGCTCGATCAATGATCTGGCCAACAACAACAACATATAACAATTTTAACGCCATTTAAAAAAAAAAAAAAGTTTAATTTCTTAACAAAGCATGAAGTTACTCTTCATCTTTCTGAATAATGTCTGATTTGACAGGTCTGTTTCTGAGAATGGTTTTTATTCAAGTTTTATGACGTCCATCAATGGCTAACAATAGGGTGAAGCGGGTGTGTCACGTGATACAAAAAGTTTTAAAAAAACACAACAAAAAATATTTTTTTTTGGAGCTGGGTTGAAGCGCAAGCAGGGCAACTTTAACTTGAGCGGAAAATTTGAGGGAAGGGCGGTAAAATTGGTAGAAATAGAAATATATAGTGCAGCAAAACTATTTTTTCCTCAGAGTGACCGGAGCCCTAAAATTGCCCGTAGAAAAAAATAGACCACCAACAAAGATATAACCATTGATTTCTTCTCCCCCCCCCCCC